GGTGATGGGGGTGATGGTGGTGATGATGAAGGTGATGGGGATGATGGGGGTGATGGGGGTGATGATGATGGGGATGGGGATGATGGGGGTGATGGTGGTGGTAACAATGGTGACAGTGGTGATGCTGTTGATGGTGGTGATAGTGGTGATGATAATTATGAGGGTGATGATGATGGTAGTGGAGGTGGTGGCCATGGTGACAGTTGTGGTGATAGTGATGGTGATGATGGTGGTGGTGATAGTGATGATGATGATGGCAGGGGTGATACTAATGGTGATGGTGGTAATGATCATGGTGGAGATGGTGGCCATGGTGACAGTTGGGGTGATGGTGGTGATGTTGATGGTGATGATGATGGTGGTGGTGGTGGTGATCATGGTGGAGGTGGTGGTGACATGGTGACATGATCGTGATGACAGTTGTGGTGATGGTGGTGGTGATGATCATGGTGGTGGTGGTGACATGGTGACATGATCGTGATGACAGTTGTGGTGATGGTGGTGGTGATGATCATGGTGGTGGTGGCCATGGTGACAGTTGTGCTGACGGTGATGATGTTGATGTTGATGGTGATGATGATAGTGGTGGTGGTGATCACGGTGGAGGTGGTGGTGACATGGTGACATGATCGTGGTGACAGTTGTGGTGATGGTGATGATGGTGCTAGTGATGGAGGGAGAGAGGCAGTCTCAGGTCTCCACATGACTGAGTTTGGGATTCAATCTGAAGGAGCAGCAGCAACCCAGAGGAAGCTCTTCCCAGTGCAATTTCAGAGGGAAGGAGGCCAAGCATAGCTGCAAAGCACATTTCTCAACATCCCAGTGGCAAAAGCAAACCACATGGGGAAGAGCAGCATAATGGGTGGAAAAGTCTCCAGCTTCTGCCCTGTCAAGGCAACAGGTGGGGAGGCAGGGAAGCAGTGGGGGACTAATCCCCCCCGGTGTAGGAAACCACTGTACAGAAGCACTCTTAGATAGAGACAAGGGGCAATAGCACAACTAGGATACAGGGGAGGATTTCCGAATTGTGAGACTGGGCTCTATCTGGCTCCTGGATTCTTTGTGTGAGCCCCGGCATCTGCAGGCACCTGCACATGTGTGAATTCACATGTCTGGGACTGAAAACCCCGTCACCAAGAGCCAGTCACACACATAAAGACGATAAAGACCAAATCAACTTCATTAATTATATCAGAATGCAGCCAGCATTCACATTTATCTTTGTAAGTAACAGAGAACAATAGTGCAGATGATCTAAAGCTGTAGATAATTAGCCAGGTCTTTATATTGACTTTAGATTTGATTATAAGATTTTGTAGTCAGCAAGATTTAGCTAAAGCAAAATTATAATTGCAGTACTTTGCATTCCCATAAGCAAACACTCAGCCAACAAGGACAGGTGGTCCAGAATTTGAATTTGGTTATATATAATTGAAAGTTGAGTTAGTGATAAAATGAAGTACTATTTGTAAACCTCTCTGCAGAATCCTGGGCACAGTAGAGTAGATGCTCGTTAATTATTTATCTCTAAACTCTTCCCTTTCCTTACCAATAAAACGAAATGATTATTTTCTCAACTGATTTCTTCAAGTGCCTTCCTTGTTGGGTCATGGAAATAAGAAAACATTTGGTATAAACTCAATTTTTTTCATTTAATTAAAACTGTACCTCAATATTTTCAGCTGTTTGTATGTCCTGTTCCTTGTTGGCTAGAATAAGCTGAAATTCCCCAGATAGCAAGAATATGACATTTAATTAAATCAGCAGTTACCAAAACATTTGTTCAGCTGTAGGTTTATGTTGTTTTTTGGCAGATCCAAATTCTTATTACACTTTATGTCCCACCTGGATAGTGTGCAGTTTTATGAATTTAAATGTGTACTTTCTGTAATTATGTCTATCCTTTGAGGGTTCTGAATTTCTGATGATTAAAAATAATTGTGTCTGGGCACAGTAGCTCATGCTTATAATCCTAGCACTCTGCAAGTCTGAGGCCAGAGGATCACTTGAGAACAGGAGTTCAAGACCAACCTTAGCAAGAATGAGACCCCATCTCTATTAAAATTAGAAAAATTAGCCAGGCACAGTGGCAGGCACCTGAATTCCCATATACTTGGGAGGCTGAGGCACGAGGATGGAGGTTGCTATAAGCTGTGATGGTATCACTGCACTCCAGCCAGGGGTGACAGAGTGAGACTCTGTCTCAAAAAATAGCAATGAATAAATATTTTTTTAAATCGTAAATGTCTAATTAGAACTACTTGCTATTTCTGTAAGTGGCAAGAAAAGTTTTTTAAAGGTGCCTTTGAATGCTGCCTAAGTATTCCTTGTTGATAGTTTTATTTATAAACCCTTCAAGATGTATTAATAGTAACAATGTAAAAGATGTGATATTGATAATGAATAATGAACACAGCCTCAGATAATTAGATATCACTGTCAAGTTCAAAATCAGGGTCTGAAACCATCTACTTCTATACCTGACAAAGTTTTTCTGTCTCCGTGATTAAGAACATCCCTATATCCATAATGATAAAATACTAATTTATAGACATTTTTGTTATTAATGCAGAAATAGTGCACTATACAATCAGAATTGCTCACCAGTTTCTCAAAAGCAGTCTTATAGAATATGTTAGAAACTGTATCTTCATATAAGCCATGCCCTCCTGTGTGTGCAATGTACCCGGAGACTGCAGCCTGACTGTACAGTTTCATGAAGTGAAATGAGAGCAACGGTTGGGCAAAGAGCGTGAACGAGCGGTGGGCAGCACAGAGACCCGCGGCACAGAGATCGAAAGCAGGACACAGCACAGCGATTCTCAGCCAGGGTGCTGTGGCACACTGGTGCACCGTGGGAGGGTCTTAGATGTGCTCAGGAAATGTTTAAAGATCATTAGTTATTTTCAAAAGAAGTTGAAAGCACAGTAAACATATTCTTTTTTTTAACTCCTTTTTTAATCAACATAAGTATACTGTAGAAGTTTAACTATAGGTTCAAGTATGCTGTGAGATTAAAAAAAGTTGAAAAACACTGCTATAGCAAGTAAATCTAAGTCGGACTTTGTTTAACAGCTATTTATATATCAGAACATCTATTACTAACAGCCTAATTAGTATTTGCAATCTGATAACAATACTTTTTCTTCCTATGCCAGCTGCAAAAATAAAAATAAATACAGAAATTATTTTATAACTTCCACAGAAAGCCTAGTTTTTGCATTTTACAAAGGGAAAGTAATCATAGTCATCATATAAATATTGTGTCCCTCGTTAGGTAGAGTTTAAGTAATGTAAATATCATCCTCTATCTAGAAAATGGCTTCACAGAAGAAAAGGAACTAGTTGCGATTTGGGCTGTACTTGGGCCTCTGAGTCACCTATGCAGATGACTAGCTTATGATATTTGCAGGCCATCACAGTCATTTTTTCTGGTACTTTATTTAAAAGGAAACTATTTCTTCCTTGTTACTTCCTTGTTACCCTGTTTACAGCAGGGACCTGTGTATTTCATGCAACATTGAAACATTGAGAAATGCCATTATTAATTAAAACTTACATTCCCTTTCTCTTTCTGTATTCAGCTGTTCAAGGATCAAGTGTCATTTTCCGAACAGTGGAAGTCACGTTACACAAAGAAGGCAACACCTTTGGTTTTGTAATACGAGGTAGGTCGTGGCTGGAAAATAAGAACCATCAGGTCCCTTTGGAAGGTTTGGGAACGTAAAATTGAGAGTAAGCTAAGAAGTCACCTACAAAATAACCAACATTTCCATTGCGTGAAGTCACCTTTTAACATTCGCACCTGCTCTTCTGTAAGTAAATAAAGGATTAAGACTCAAAGGGGAATACAAATAGTGCAGCTTTCCTTTTAGTTCTTAACACAGAGCAAGGAGCCCCTGTCTGTGACCTTGTCCATGACCTTGTCCGTTTGCAGCCGTCCTACTGAGTCGTCCCAGTTCTGCCAACTTTTATACTTTCCTGTATTGATCAAATCAGAAATGGTGATGAACATGGCTCGATTTGATTTAAAACACTAGGATTAAGCAACCTCATTTAAATTAATTTCTCCTGAAATACATTTTATTACTGTAGCTCTCTAAAAATTGATTGAAAGAAAATCTAATCTCCTGGGCACCTCTGTGCATAAGCCCAATCTGTCACATCGCTGGATGGTGCTGCTGATAAGGATTTCAGGTGACCCCAACTTCCCTATAAAACCATTGATTCTAAAGTGTAGTTCTAGCTTTTATTGTTTTTTTTATTAACAGTTTCATCCCTTAAAGGCTATGCCTACATTAACAACTCTCAAGTTCCTACTGTGACAAGGAGCTACTGTGGGAAGCTATTTAAGCATCAAGAATTTTTGAACTTTTTACATTTTTTAAATTGTTTAACCTGTAAAATTTTGTACTTCGTAAGAGTCAAAATTCTATCAAAATTATTAAAATTAGTTAAAATTAAGCATCTTCATAAACATGCACACACGAAGAATGAAAGCAATGTGTTCACTCATACAGACTTTACGTGACTGAGGTTAAGCGTGAGGTTTTATTCTGAGCTGACCATTTGCCAAATCGATCACTCAAGTATTTATTAAGCATATGTCAATGTGTGGGACAAGTTTTATGGAATCATAAGACAAGACTCCATCTACAGGGAATTACGTTCCACTGGATTTAAGACGTAAACTGATGGAGTGCTCACGTGCATAATCAGGCTGGGAACTAGGAACTCAGAGGGGTTCAGACTAGGGCGATTACATTTTTCTAACCAAGGCCTGTGTTTAGGTAGAGCAACAGACTCCAAAATCATTTACCTTAATCATTCCCAAATTTTTCTTTAAAGTAACTAGATGCCCCATGACTGCATTAATGTACACAGCTATGATTTAATTAAATAAATAAATAAATAACTAGATGAATATAATGAAATGTTACTATATAAGTAACTTTAGGCGGAAGGGTGGGTGTTACAGGCGGATCTGTTTTTGCAACACAGGTAAGAAAGAGGCATCTTTGTGTGCACAGGAGCCTAACGTTAAAAAGCTGTGACTCTTAACCTCAAAGGGAAAAGCTGCCGCAAGAAATATTGCTGTTGCGGATATCATCACTAGTTACTCCGTGGCTAATCAATAACTAATCAAATTGCTAATGAAAGAGCTAGACCAGTAGTAACTTATCACTAAGAAATAAAAAGAATAGGGCAGTGCCTGTGGCTCAAAGGAGTAGGATGCCGGCCCCATATGCCAGAGGTGGCAAGTTCAAGCCCAGCTCTGGCCAAAAACTGCAAAAAAAAAAAAAAAAAAGAAAGAAAGAAAGAAAGAAAGAAATAAAAAGAATAGAATTGCTTCAATAGAAGCAATTGAAATTCACAAGCACCTCAAGACAACTAATGAAGTAATGTCGACAAAATGCCCTCCCTGCAGTTGGCAGGCCCTTCACACATTTGTGCCTGCCCAGGAGATTCACACTAAGAGCCTAGAACACCACCTGAGTGCAAGGGAAGCACTCAGTAAACAGGCGTCCTCAAACTACAGCCCAGGGGGCACATGTGGCACACCGGGTGTTTTTGCCGCCACTGCCTGTCCTGCTTAGCAGCCAACTTGTCCCAGGCCCACAGTTTGGCCCTCCAACGGTCTGAGGGACAGTGAACTGGCCCCCTGTTTAAAAAGTTTGAGGACCCCTGCAGTAAGTGAACGGACCAGTGACCAGGTGAATGTGCCTGGACTTCTGTGGACCTCAGACTTAGAATGATACTGACTTTAAAACCTTACTAATAATGAATCAGTTTTAGGTTAGAAGTACCCCATTTTTGGGGTAAATCGGTTGAACATAAAGTTTATGAAATTTTGCATTATTTCTTAATGAGAATCAAATAAAGGATTTGTATTTTTAGATTAGTTTAAATGCCAATTGGAGGGTTCTTCTTTTCAAAAGTGGTGACTACTCATCCCCTAAAAATCACTGTTTAATCAGAACGAGAAACTTTTTTTTTTTTTTTTTTTTTTTAGACAGAGCCTCAAGCTGTTGCCCTGGGTAGAGTGTGGTGGCATCACAGCTCACAGCAACCTCCAACTCCTGGGCTCAAGC